TATATTGAAGTTAAAAATCTAAAAATCTGTAACATGCAGTTTGATGATGATCGCAACATCACACAAAGGAATCAGATAAATTCTACAGTTTTTAATGCATCACATGTGTTTCAACAACAATATTGACCTTGGATCGTAATCTGAGAGCTATCATGATAAATATTCAGAGCAGACCAAAAGAGAGTAGAATGTTGATTCCTGGAAAGAAAAAAAAAATATATGAAAGTTGCAGGGTTAATTGGTGAAAACATGTTCAGGGCATGAAGGTAAGTATGAACAAAATATCAAATCATAGCATTGATAAAAATTGTGAAAACGAAAGCTGGAAGCAGTACAATATCGATTAAGTCGTATTATATTTTATGCTACTTTAGTATTGTAGTGTTTTATGCTTCTAAACATCAACAATGTATATCTCTATGAAAAAAATGTTTTGAATACATACACTAGTAGTGTTTTTAGTTTTTATTAGTTTCCTTCTATGTAAATGAGAAATGAAAATAGTTTGTTCAAGCTGATTTTTTTTTTTTAGTTTAGAAAAGTGGATATTTCTTAGAATGTTTTCGCCTAAGAAATGGAAATAGACTTGGAAAATGTTAGTAATATCTCATTATAATTACGAATGTGGAAAAGACACACTCGGTAAAACTTTACAAATGAAAACAAATTTCAGATTATGTACCTTTGTGCCAAAAGTGTCATATAAACTTTTGGCACAAATGAAATTCACCCTGCTTGGTATATTATTCTAAAGTGTCATATAAACTTAAGAATAATATACCAAGCAGGATGAATTTCATTTGGAAAAGCAAAATGGTAAAAATCATCAAAATGTAATATTGCTCATTTATAATAAACTTATTTATCAAGTATGTAGCTACTAACAGATCTTTTTAATAAATATAAAGTAAAATCAACCCACTTGTTATTTTCAATATTATAAAAAAAATATACTTTGTCATTTTTCTTCGAGCTCAGTAATGGTAATAGGATAAATAATTATTGCATTTGATTGAAGACATATACATATTAAAGTAATAAGCACTGCAATGCTTACATAATATGTTCATACACAAACGCGCAAAACATGACCTTATATCTTCTTCTAAATAATGTTTGCCAGAGAGACTTTATAAATCTTGAATATATAGTCCGTGTTCCATTCATTTTGATGCCGTTATTGATTGTAGAGAAAATATATATTCTCCTGTTGTTTTGGTAAACCCTTTTGTGTATTCAACACTGCAAAAACATTAGAACATTTCAGCACTAATATCTAACAGTACCTAATAAAGCAGCCTTGGCAAATCTGAATGTACGTTGATTTGCATGGTATATTGAAACGTGTATAAAATCCCCAGCCGTATTAATTTACCTCTCATTTTCAATGACGTTCAAGAAAGAAGGAAGGTTGAAATCAATTAAAAATACATTTACAATTATTGATTGCAAAAGGAAAAAAAATGAGGATACATTATCTCTTAATAGATCGCTGTAAAACCTATGAAAACAGATCATGTCGACGAAACAATTATTTTTCCAATCTTATGATTTTTTAATGTTTTTAATGGCAGTATTGGGTATATGACCAATCTTTACACTTTTGTAAATTTTTGTTTTCCAAGAACTGATATTGAAACATATTTGATTGGATCACATCTTTCATAAAGTACAATCATTCTATATTACTTGTGAATTCATTAAGAACATGTTTTTTTAGTTCATACTGTATATATATTTTATCAATTATGATAGAATTTTGAATAAAATTCTGGATGTTCGTGTGCTTTATCTTCCTTTTTTGACGAAGGAGGGCATAACTTGATATTTAGGTATTTATAAATAAGTCTGTATAATCGAGAATATAAGATGCTGTCAAAAATGTGTACTGTACAAATACAAGGACTACAATTAGAACTAGGAGACTTATTGTTCACAGAACGATAAGAGGTCTTTCCACCTTCTTTGATGTTTTCAATTTTGTTTATTTGACTCCTTAAAATTAAATTCCATGAATAAAAAAACCAAAACTGTCTTATACGATAGAAAAAATTAAAATTTAAAAAAACTGAAATGACCTTGACCTTTGACCTTGAAAATTTTTCAAGGTCAAAGGTCAAGGGCACAATGCAATTGACCCCATGTTTTTATCACTTATAGTTTTCAAGTTATAAGGTTTTATATTAAGTACAAAGAAGTAAAGGGCAATAACTCATATAATAAGGGGTCATCAGATCCATTTGTACTTATACAGTGAAGTAAGGCCTAAAGACCCTTAACACATTAGAGAAGGTTTGGTGTCTCTACGGTCTACGGTTTTGAAGTAGTAGCAATAACAAGGTTTTTCGCATGAGGGGCAATAACTTTCAATAGGGTCAATCTTCGGGGACAAGAATGAAATCTTTGAAATAGATTTAAGAGAACATATTAAAAATGCAAAGACTGATTGTATATGTTAAAAGACAAAAGAGATATAAAAAGAGCTTGATTTCTCAATTTTTGAGTGACCTTGACCTTTGACCTTTGCATAAATTTGAAGGTCAAAGGTCACTGAATCTAATGCAGTTGGTCCCATGTCTCTACGACTTGTCGTTTTGAAAATTTTTGATTATTTGTAATGTTCAAAAAGTTTCAGGGGCAATAACTCATTGAAGCGTCACCGAATGCTTTCGCAATAAATAGATTGAAGAGTCCCCATAATATGGCAAAGCCATTGGTGAAGGTTTCATACCTTTACGGTTTACGGTTTCAGAGGAGGAGCGATAACAAGGGTTTTTAGCACAAGGGGCAACAACTTTTCAAAGGGTCAATCTTAGGGGCCAAGATTTATATCTTCTAAAGAGTTTCGAAAGTACATATCAAAGACATAAGATAGATCGTATATGTTTAAGGACATAAGAGCTATTAAGAGAAATTTATTTCTCATATTTGGAATGACCTTGACCTTTGACCTTGAAATGAATTTGAAGGCAAAAGGTCATTGAATGTTATGCAGTTGGTTTCATGTTTCTACGACTTTTCGTTTTGAAAATTTTTAATTTTTTGTAAACTTTATAAACTTTCAGGGGCAGTTACTAATTGAAGGGGTCAAAGAAAACTTTCACAATGAATAGATTGAAAAGTCTCCTAAATTAGTTGAAGACAATGGAGAAGGTTTTATATCTCTACGGTTTACGGTTTCTGGGGAGTAGTGATAACAAGCTTAACGGCGAAAGGGCCAATAACTGTGTAAGGGGTCTAAATTAAAACATGGGGGGTCATTTTTCGGAATAACTTTAAATATCCAGTATCATGAACTATAAAGTTTTTCGATAAGTCTTACGGTGTCAAAACATAAGGTGAGAAATAAAATAAAAAACAAAAGCATTTCAAGAGGTCTTTCCACAGAAAGGTGGAAAGACCTAATAACATTAGATAAGTCGAATTGAAACACAGATTTATTTGAAACCCAAAAATACCTATAATTCCAATTTTGGTGTACATTCAAACGCATCTAGTCATTTAACTCGCATGAGCTCTAATGAGTTCATCTGTATGAATAAGACAAAGGACAAGATAGGGTCGAATATGGCCCCTCATTTGATATAAAATCAGAACATTGGTATAATTGTGATAGTTTATAGTTAAGAAGTTCAGATGATGCTTACAAGCACTAATTTAGATTCAAAGCTTAAATGTTAGCCACTAGAGGCCGCAGAAGTAGGTCATTTTCCATTATTTCCTTAAGATAGGCAAGCGTGTGCTTTCCGAAACGAAATGTGCTCTAAAATCAATGAAAATTTTCACAAAAATGAGAAATTTCGAAAATTGACCCATTTTCTGACCTCACTGTGACCCCTGTGTATCCTTAATCTTAGAACCTATACTCATTTTGTGGCAGTGACAACAGGGTTTTATGGATAACCTCTTGGATCATAATGAAACACACCCAAATCTTTTTTGTCCGTCCACGTCCGTTGTTCATTAAATTATATAATTAGCATTTGAACATTTTGAGCTTCTTATTTGAAACCACTTTACCAATTTCAACCATTTTTGGCATAAAGCAGAAATTGGTGAAGGGGAACAAAAACTCTTAATTTCATGGTCCCTGTCCCCCTGGAGACTGGGGGTGGGTGGGACCAAAGCCAATGAAACTTAGCAATGTTTAGAAAAGACTTTCTCTTTACTCCCGGACAACATGCAGTCAAACTGTTGACATGATTGTGATAAGCTTTGAGCCCTCTACCAAAATATAAAACTCATGGTACTAAAGTCAGGGGTTCTAGTGCTAGGGCGGAGCTCTGTTTAATATATTGGGCACCCTTTCTAAAGTATTAATTGTAAAATGTGTGGTCACGGGGTCAGGATTTTGTGGGCTGGGGGGCACTACTGATTATTACTGATTAGTTGAAATGCATTTTTGGTCCCCCTACTCTGCTTATGAGCTACCAAATTATGCATGCTAAGTGATTACTAGTAGTTACGATAAGCAGCAGTGTGTACTATTGATCCAGCCAATGTCTCAAATGCTGCAATGTCAGCAAAAAATGACCAGATTGATGATTTGGGGGCAAAATAATTTTTTTTTGCTGCAGGTTTATATTTTTGGTTTGAATCTACTCAGTTCACTTCTACGTGTTCTCTGGCAAAATGGGTTTATAAAAGATTATTTTTGATGGCACGCCCCTTGAATCTCTGCTTTGACTTTTGTTGATCAATTTAGAACACCTTAATTTACCAAAATACGATTCATGCCAAATATGGCCTAATTTGTTCATGTTGTTCATTGGGATAATAATAAAAAGGTCAAAAAAGGACAGAAGAAGAATCAAGGCTGATTACTTGATAAGAAAAACTAACTTGAGATTTCAGCTCAGGCAGGCTAAGAAACGTTTGGCTTTATCTCTTATGCGTGTTGTGCGATACAGGCCTATATAAAAACGAACTTGAAATAATTTAGATTGTTAATAGCAATTACAATGAATAACTGTATGCATAAAGATATCTTTATTTTGTAGGTTATTCCTATAACCACAGCTGTAACAAATTGATGTACTCATGTGATCTCTGATGACGTATGCTCCATTGACTATAGCATTTATTACAACTTTGAAGGTACAACATTTAAAATTGAATTTAAGAACAACTAAATCATGTAGGGTGAAACATTGCTATCTGTTTATTTCCTGTCTTTCTTCCTTAGTGTGTTATCATTTGGACATTATAAGCTTCTCTGTGGAACCACTGAACCAAATTCAACCAATTAAGGTACAAAACACCATTAAGTGAAGGGAAAATTCGGCTTCGAATGTCATCGTCTCTAACCCTAAGGTTATAACAATAAAAATTCGAGTATCATAAAAATATTTTTTTACTCTTGGACATCAAGCCGTCAAACTATTGACAAGGTTGTCATAAGCAGTGAGTCCTCTACAAAATTTTAAAATCCGTTGCCCAGGGACAAAGGTTCCAAAATTAGGATGGGGCTATAATTTTCAAATTGCAAAAAATGCATAATTTAGAAATGCGGTTGTCAGTCAATCTGTCGCTTTGTGTCTTCTTTCTGTCTGTCAATCTGTCTCACTTGTTTTTTCCGCACTTATTTTCAAGAAAAAAACTTCCAGATATTGAGCTGATTTTTGATATATGAATGTATCTTGACGAGCTACAAATCGAGTTTGAATTTCGTTTCGCTTAAATGATTTTTATGGAAGTGGGGCCTTTTTAAATTTTAATGGTTTTCCACAGTGTTTTCCTAAACGCCTGCAGATATTACAGTTGAGATGATTTTTGATAGGTAGATGTTTTTTATGAGTTGCAGATCAAGTTTGAAACTCCTTCCGCCTGAAGGATTTTTTAAGGAAACGGCCTTTTAATCTTTAATTAGAACCAGATTAGACTTAATTTAATAGGGTTTATGATTCGTTAAAGCTGAAACTTATGTGTGCAAGCAATTGGGGTAGTATATATTCTAAATTGTTCAGAAAATGACCCCTGGATTAGTGCTTGGCCACAATATAATTAAGGAACCCAAATTTTACATTAATATATTTGAGAAAAATATTTAAAAATCTCCAAGAACTGGATAAATAATGTCGAAACATATGTTGAAACACCATTGTTCAGAACCTTAGTTCTTCAAATCATGCATCTTAAGCTCCGTCTTAACAGCAGTTACATGTAAAAGGATATGGGTTGGTAGAACATTTGCTGGAAAAAAGAAATATTTCATATCTTGTAAGAATGTTTTATTTATACAAAACTTTATTCACAAACTAGAGTACAGTGAGCAATGAGCTCATCAAATGATACTCCCGCCACCCATAATATCCATGTTTTGCTATATAAGATAAGATATTCTTTATTTCCTCCAAAGTAATGGAGATTTTGTATGAACAGGTAATTAACTAATTATTAACACAGTGCAAAAAAAGAGAATATAATGGCAATGTCCATGTTTTTCTATGGTAAACCTAAAATACATGTCGAATAAAAAAGTAAAATAGGAGTTGCATAATGGCAAAATGTAATAAAGATTCTGTGAAAGTTTCATTAAATATCACTCAGTAGTATAAGAGGAGTTGCGGTTAAGAGATGGGTACCCCTAAGCGTAACAGCCGGACGGACAGACATACAGCTAGACGGATGGACAGACGGACGGACATAACGATTACTATATACATGTACCATCCCACTATTCAAGCGGGGGGTATACATGTAATAAAGTGAATGGAGCGGACAGCAGGCAAAGCCTATTTTAGCCCTGTCTCCCTAGTAAGAATTGTAAGAATTCTAATGGAGTTTAGAAATCAAGTATAAGAATTTAGGCTATAAAAGACTAATTTTTGTTGACTGAAATGTTTAGAGTATGAGACACTAGGATATGATTTTAAAGAGTTCTATCCTAGAAATTGAACTGCTTTTATTGGTAGCATTTCCAGAGTTAGACACAAGCTCATCCAAAATACAACTTAGATAATGACAACAATAATTTACAAAGACAATATTGCAACAAGCCTTGTCTGCTATATTCATTACATATTGTTCATGTGGTGTCTGTAATTCTTTTATCCACTCCGATTTAGTGAAACAGAAGATGACAAAAAAGAATTAATTACATTATTAGGTCACCTGAGTAAACTCAGGTGACCTATTGCTATCTGTTTTCGTCCGTCGTCGTTCGTCGTACGTCGTTCGTAAACTTTTGAACATTTTCAGCTTCTTCTCTGCAACCACTGAACCAATTTTAACCGAATTTGGCACAAAGCATCTATGGTTGAAGGGGAACAAAATTTGTGAATTTCATGATCCCTGCCCCCCTGGGGCCTGAGGGGTGGGGCCAAAACCACTACAATTAATGCAATCTTTAAAAATCTTCTTCTTTACTCCTGGACATCAAGCAGTCAAACTGTTTGCATGATTGTAATCAGCATTGGGTCCTCTACCAAAATTGTGAAATTCATGGCCCTGGGGTCAGGGGTTCTAGTGCTAGGGCAGGGCTAAATAAGTAGGTAGTGATAATGCATTATTTCTTTGAAAATCTTCTTCTCTGCTCCTGGGTATTAAATAAACCAACTAAGTAGTTATATATTTGATGAACAAGAGTGCTTCTACCAAAATTGTGAATTTTATGGCCCCAGGGTCAGGGGTTCTTGTGTTAGGGCGGGACTCTATTGATTATATACAGTGAAAATACATGATTTCTTTGAAAATCTTCTCTGCCCCAGGGTATTAAATAAACTAACTAAGTGCATAGTTATGATGAGCAAGAGTGCCTCTAACAAAATTGTGAATTTTATGGTCCCGGGGTCAGGGGTTCTGGTGTTAGGGCGGGACTCTATAGATTATATAGTAAAAATACATGAATTCTTTGAAAATCTTCTTCTCTGCACCTAGATATTAAATAAATTAACAAAGTGCATAGTTAAGATGAGCAAGAGTGCCTCTACCAAAATTGTGAATAATTTTATGGTCCCTGGGTCAAGGCTTCTGGTGTTGGGGGGGGGCTCTATAGATTATATTGTAAAAATACATGAATTCTTTGAAAATCTTCTTCTCTGCTCCTAGATAATAAATAAACTAACAAAGTGCATAGTTAAGATGAGCAAGAGTGCCTCTACCAAAATTGTGAATTTTATGGCCCCAGGGCCAAGAGTTCTGGTGTTAGGGGGGGGGGGGCTCTATTGATTATATAGTGAAAATACATGAATTTTTTTAAATCGTCTTCTCTGCTCCTAGGTATTAAATAAACTAACTAAGTACATAGTTATGATGAGCAAGAGTACCTCTACCAAAATTGTGAATTTTATGGTCCCAGGGTCAGGGGTTCTGGGGGGAGGGGGCTCTATTGATTATATAGTGAATATACATTAAATCTTTGAAAATTTTCTTCTCTGTCTCTGGGTATGAAGCAGATGAACTACCTAAATAGTTATGATGAGCAAGGGCCCTAATCTTGCAAAATGTTGAATTTCAAGGCCCCAGGGTCAGGGGTGGGGGTGGGGCTCTACTTATATACTGACAATGAATTAATTGTTTGAAATCTGCTCCTTTATATTTATAAAACATTTATTTATTTTTTGATAGACAATTTTAACGGTGCCTTTTTAAAATTTGTGCAATGTGTGGACCTAGGGTCAGGGGTTTATTTCACAGTGTTAGGGACATTACTGATTATTGCTGAATATTACTGATTAGTTGGAATGCATTTTTTCCCCCTACCTTGTGTATGGGTATCAGTACCCATGCGAGGTGATTATGAATAATTCATGAATTTCCTTGAATTTTTCATGAATTTTATTCATGAAATGTTCATGAAACGTTCATGAAGATCATATGAACTTATTATTGGACATATTTAAATCAATAAACCAAGCTAAGCAACTGCTAAGTGTATTGTTATGATGATCAATGGTGCCTCTTTCAAAATTGTGAATGCCATATAGCATCTGGCTTAAAACATGAATCAAATTTAATAACTGGAAAGTTGTTGCAGAATGCTCAGGTGACCTTTAAGGCCCGTGGGCCTCTTGTTTAATAATTTATAACAATAAAAGTTCTTTCATAAATCCAATGGTCAGATAGACTTTTAAATAATAGATAAATAAGATAGTCAACTATAGTTTACGATAGTATTTTTTTTTTCTTAGGGTAAATCTGTTACTGGACAATTTATTAATTACGTCTTACGTTTGGGCAATATATAGCATTATTGATCAGCTTATTTGAGTTTATTTTTGATTCTATCTTCGGATCCATTACGGTATTACATTATACACTGTATTCATGTGATCTTAAAGATCCTTAGGCCTCCTGTGAGCAAGTTCATATAAAGAATTAGTTATAAATTGCTTGAATCCATAATAAGGATTGTCAAGCTTGTTTACTTTCTTCATGTCGAACCAAGAAAAAGAATTGACTAAGTATTTAATATGAAACAAACCATTTAAATGAATTTTAAAATAGTGTTGCATCATCATTTTTCGTGGAGGACCAATGTAGTTGATATTGTGGGTCACCCTGACATCCCTGCGAACTTTTATTTGTTATTATATTAATTCATTTAATTTACCATGTAAACGAGAAGAAGTCAAATTTCGCTTGACCCCTGAAATGATTCCACAGTAACAATAAACTATGATGTACATGTAATTATAAACTTTGTTTTATAGTTATATTTCTTAATACTTAAATACACCACTTTTGCTTGTAGTTAATCCCGATGTTTCAATGCTGTTTTGATGTCAAGTCCACAGAAGAAATTGTTGAATCCTGTCCAAGAAATCAAACAATGTGGAATGAAGCAGCTACAAGAAAGAACTGTTCGTTGTTCAATCAAAATTGTACTTCCTCTAACCATGAGTACCATTGTTTAGCTAATCACTTTCTTAATGCCACTTATGAGGTTTGTGCTGAGCCAGCATTAATATTTAATGGTAAGTTAGAGATATATATGCAGGTATATGGTGTTCAATCTCACCTGTTACGTTTTCTGATCAATGTTCCCTCTTTTGTCTGTTCGTCAATATATTTTTTTATTCTTGACGTATCTTTAATAGATCCCCTGGAATAAAATAAACCAATGTAAACATGAATACATGTACATGTAATCATTTTGCAGGGAAATTATATTGAATTATTAACTTGAAGGACCAGGATTCCATCGTAGAAGCGAATAGAAAGTATAGAAATGACATAGGTCCATAGTCTTCTTCGTCAGAGTTATAGTAATTATTGTTCCAAAAAGGTCATATTAATTGCTGCGTTGTACTAAAAGAAACGCACTGACCCTCATTTTTTGTTTTTATTAGCTCACCTGAGCCGAAGGCTCAAGTGAGCTTTTCTGATCAAAATTTGTCCGTTGTCTGTCGGCGTTGTCGTTGTTGTCGTTGTTGGCGTTGTTGTCGTCGTAAACTTTTCACATTTTCATCTTCTTCTCAAGAACCACTAAGCCAATTTCAACCAAACTTGGTACAAAGTATCCTTGGGTGAAGGGGATTCAAGTTTGTTCAAATGAAGGGCCAGGCCCTTTTCCAAGGGGAGATAATTATGAATAAGAGAAAAATTAATGGCATTTTCAAAAAATCTTCTTCTCAAGAACCACTGGGCCAGGAAAAATGAAACTCATGTGGAATCATCCTCAGGTAGTGTAGATTCAAGTTTGTTCAAATCATGACCCCCGGGGGTAGGGTGGGGCCAAAATGGCCGATCAAAGTTTTACAAAGGAATATATAGGAAACATCTTTAAAAATCTTCTTCTCAAGTACCACTGGGCCAGGAAAGATGAAACTCATGTGGGATCATTCTCAGGTAGTGTAGATTCAAGTTTGTTCAAATCATGACCCCCGGGGGTAGGGTGGGGCCAAAATGGCCGATCAAAGTTTTACAAAGGAATATATAGGTAACATCTTTAAAAATCTTCTTCTCAAGTACCACTGGGCCAGGAAAGATGAAATTCATTTGGGATCATCCTCAGATAGTGTAGATTCAAGTTTGTTCAAATCATGACCCCCGGGGGTAGGGTGGGGCCAAAATGGCCGATCAAAGTTTTACATAGGAATATATAGAAAAAATCTTTAAAAATCTTCTTCTCAAGAACCACTGGGCCAGGAAAGATGAAACTCGCGTGGGATCATCCTCAGGTAGTGTAGATTCAAGTTTGTTCAAATCATGACCCCCGGGGGAAGGCCTGGGCCAGAATGGCCGATCAAAGTTTTACATAGGAATATATAGGAAAAATCTTTAAAAATCTTCTTCTCAAGTACCACTGGGCCAGGAAAGATGAAACTCATGTGGGATCATCCTCAGGTGGTGTAGATTCAATTTTGTTCAAATCATGACCCTCGGAGGTAGGGTGGGGCCAAAATGGCCGATCAAAGTTTTACATAGGAATATATAGAAAAAATCTTCAAAAATCTTCTTCTCAAGAACCACTGGGCCAGGAAAGATGAAACTCATGTGGGATCATTCTCATGTAGTGTAGATTCAAGTTTGTTCAAATCATGACCCCGGGGGAAGGGTTGGGCCAAAATGGCCGATCAAAGTTTTACAAAGGAATATATAGGAAAAATCTTTAAAAATCTTCTTCTCAAGAACCACTGGGCCAGTAAAGATGAAACTCATGTGGAATCATCCTCAGGTAGTGTAGATTCAAGTTTGTTCAAATCATGACCCCCGGGGGTGGGGTGGGGCCAAAATGGCCAATCAAAGTTTTACATAGGAATATACAGGAAATTCTTTAAAAACACATCTTCTCAGTATTCACTGGGCCAGGAAAGATGAAACTCATGTGGAATCATTCTCAGGTAGTGTAGATTCAAGTTTGTTCAAATCATGAGCCCCTGGGGGGGGGGGGTAAAATTCCCCCCCCCCCCCCCCCCCCCCCCAGTTTACTTTCAGTTCTGATCTGATCTGTGTTTTTTCCTAGCCGGTTGCTCAGGTGAGCGATGTGGCCCCTGGGCCTCTTGTTTTTTTAATAAAGCTATATGTGTAATTTTTAAATAATATATTCTCAATACAGATTCTCAATACAATTGATAACAGGAAGCAACCTCCTTAACAGTAAGCATTTCATCAACTTAAAGGTTGTTTTAATGCCATTTTAACAAAACAAAACCTGTCATTGGATCGTATGTTGCTGAAGGGCTTCAAACCAATATTTAACCCTTTGTATTCATTCCTTGACAACTGAATATTCTACCTGAATAATACATACATGTAGGCCTCACATCGATATCGGATGTGATAGGTCAATAGTAGATGCTTACTTCTTATAGAACACTTACATGTATCTAATCCCTGGAATTCTCTATGATCCCAGCTGTTTTATGCCTTATATACAGATTTGTGTAGATTTTTTTCTTTCAGTTTGATCAATGATATTTTTACCTTTTTCATTTTATACATGTACGCAAGTATACATAATGCACATACCTTTATTGATGTCTTATTTAATTAGATATGACAGGTGATTCTCTTGTTGCTGAAACTTCTATAAAATTAAAATGCTTATCTAATAGTTTGGCTAAAAGCTTTGGTCTTATTACATGTATCATCTCTTTGTTTAGAAGGAAATTTTCTCTTTAAACTTGGACCGTCCTATGCAGAGGTTGTTTCGAGGTTTTATTAAATAAAATCGTGACGATAAACAAAATGAAATTTCTTTTTATCTCCTTCCATAATGCCTAAAATGGAATGTACTGGATCTGATAAAATTACTAGTAAGAATCAATGGCCTATATTATTTTTTGTTGTTGTAATTATTGGAATATTAAGGCTTTTCACAAATTTACAAGATGATGCATTAAATTTTATTGATGTTTTGAAAAAAAGTAAGAAGATTTTGCTTTGTGTACAAATTCATAATATATACTGAATATTTTTAAAAATCACATTGAGAATGATTTTATATTGTGAATTAACATTTCTAAAGGATTTTTCTTCAATTTGAAGGATGGTGTGCAGAATACAACGAAGGAGGGAAGATAGTACAAGGAAATTACAACACAAACTGTAAAATCTTCAACAAAACCGCCTGTCCATCAAGATATTATTCTGATGAAGCTTATAAATGTGAGGATTATATGGTTTGATAGACATCCAAACTCATGTGAATGTACAATTATTGATTGGGTTTATGTATTATTTGTTGGACTTCATGACCAAGTTGCTGAAACCGTTTGGTGGAAGACAAAGAGTTAAAGGGATCGGCAAAACTCGTTCTGTCAGATAATCCGGTCAATAAATGTAAAAACTCTTATTACTTCTCATAATACAGTGGACCTTCAGATATCCGGACGCCAGATATCCGGATGCTTCAGTATCCGGACGATTTTTTTATCTTGTTATTTTTGTCTTGTTTAACTGGTGATTCAGATATCCGGATGCTTCACATATCCGGACAAATTGACTGGGAACCAAAGTGTCCGGATAAATGAGGGTCAACTGTATACGAGTCTGCCGGTCATATATGATTAGATTTTTCTGATGAATTTTAAGAACAAAAAGCTTTAAAACATGTCTTCTCATTGACCATTGGATGAGAAGAATTGATTTGAAAAAAAAAATTGAAACTTCACTCTTTAGTGTAAAATTGTTGCATCGCTGGTTCGAATCCTAATGTGGCACGTGGAGACCGGTCCTTCGGACGAAACCATTTAAACCGAGGTCCCGTGTCGCAGTAAGTGCTGGCACGAAAAGGATCCGTTACTGCTTAATGGTCCTGAATGCCGAGCACAAAACAAAATTTGCAGCTCTCCACTGTCAAATGGTGGCGTCTCCATATGAGTGAATAAAAGATAAATAGCATATAACCAATCAATCCATCTTAGTATACATTCAAAATTGTTCAAATCATGATTCCTTCATGTGAGGGAGGGTGGGGTCAAAATAGATGATCAAAATTTACATAGGAATCTTCGTCAGTATAGTTGCCCATGTTAGCTGCAGATTAGAAACAATAATTTAAATAAAAATAAATTACATGTATTTTTATATAACACTAGATATCTTGGTAGATTTCTTAAATTTTGTCCATGTATGTCTAGCGGGTAAAAAGCTTTCGATTTAGAAATAATGCTATGGTTCATGTCAAACAAGATACTATGTAATTTGAAATCTTTCTTAATACCATGTAAATGTTTAATCTATTTCTGAATCAGTAAATTCGTTTAAAATGTTATCTAATCGGAAGATTTGCCTAATACGCTCTCTTTTGTTGATCCCACTGGTTTCCGTACATGTTAAAGTCAAATTTAATTGTACAAGCCTTCCAAATGGACTATACATATATAGTAGTATCATATATATTAAAATACATGTATTTAACACAGGAAGGGTTTAAATCACACGTTTACAAAATACATTGGAACGTTTGTATATCTGCGAAACTTTCAACTACATGTATTACAATGTAATATAGCTTAAGAACTAGAGATCTCTGCTTGGGGAAATGCGGACAGATAAAGCAGAGAGCTACAGTTATTTGAATAGAAGCTCTCAAAACAATAAAAATCATATCTGAGTTACACCTTATTACCTTAAAATTGTCAACTAAGTAGTTTGTTATAAAGAAAATCAGTTTAAGCTATTGTTTTTGCAGACCATGAATGTTATGATTTAGTTGTGAGAACCTCTCCTCAACCATTGCCAAGAACGCCTTCTACAACATCTGGATATAACACCACTCCTATCGTTTTTCATCCAACCGAAGGTCAAGAAAATAAAAGGTTTGTTAAAAAGCTTTATAAAGACTAATAGCTTCTAATTTTCATGAATATACAAATATATCCTTTAACAGCAACTTACTTGGAATTAAATTGATTTGAGGTGCTAAAGTATTTTTAAATTACATGTGGGTTTATAATTTTGAGATATTGTTGAAAATATAAAGGGAATAGGAATGACAACTTTGAGTAAAGGTTATTTAGAAAAGCTAATGTCAGGAAGGCAAAAAACCATGACAATGAAAATAGGAAATGTAAGGAAAAACAGTAACCATCTAAAAATATATAACAATATTAATCTGTGAAGAAGCTTTAATTAATTACGGAACCTTAGAAATTCCTACTACTAGGCTACCATGACCAGTTTATTACATTGTATTTTGTAACAATGGTATGGTTACAAAATAATTAACTGGTCATGGTAGCCTAGTAGAAGGAGATTGCTTCTTGATTTCGAAATCTTGCTTCGAATCACACGTAAGTAGTTACTATTCCTGCGCAAAAAAAAACTCCAGTGTGACGACAGGCATTCATTTCACTTTATTCAAAGCCTTCACTGCTCGCATGAATATAAGTGGAAATATGTAGCCCTTCACTGACACATGATGACGTCTGTAAATGAGTAAAAGATTCTCAGTTGAGACTTTTAACACCATTTAATTAATTAAAACATTGATGTTGCTACTGTGCAATGAGAAAATGACCAAGGTTCCTCTGCAGTTGCATTAAATGATAATACTTCCAATCGAGTATATTGTTCATTAATATTTCTTTTAATATTTGACATTTCGGTTGTAATTTGGAAGTTTTGGGTATAGATAACATACACTAAGAAAATTTGTTTTCAGATCACTAGAATTTTTATTCACTCCTGTTTGGAGAATGCTCTCAAATTGCTTTTTTTTCCTTCTTATAGACCCGTATTGTACTGGACTTGGATTGGTTTGGGTATCATAATTCCTGCAATTAACTTCAGTTTCCTGCTATTGTGTCTGTTTTATTGGGATAGAAAAAAAAGTTCCAAAGAAAATACCACAGTAGTATCAGGTATGCCTCTAGGTCACAGGAAAAAGATCAAGTCAATCTTCCAAGAAAAAAAATCATATTAGTCCATCAAATGGGTGAATATGATTTAAATTTTCACGACGTAATGTTCGTACTTCATGATCTTCCAAATCAGTCAATTGCATATTTCAAATATAAAAACAAATTAGAGATAGAAATTGTAAGAAATGGGTGTGTGTATATATTATTGCTCTGGTGTTGTGTATCACAATGGTTAGTTTTCCATTTGCTATAATCATGTGTTGGTTGTATTCAGCTTTAGAAATATTTAATTTATTTTCTTATATTCGTTTAAGATGAAGAAGAACATTGCCTATAAGATGTAAGGCTGGAACAAAGTAGCAACATCTGAATATAGAACTGTTCCAAACAGATTCTCCTAGAAGAAGTTTATACAGTCATGAAAATATTAAGAAACGGAGAAAAAAAAGAGTCAAAGTCACACAATAGTTAAGACTTAAAAAAACGGGATGTGATTTCCTTTCACCTTTTATTGTAATTTAACGTCTTGGAACTATATGTATACTATGGGAGAATACCCAGTCTGACTTAAGCCAGCAGCTTCTGTTTCAAATCGTTTTAATAGTAGAGGCTTGAAATAGTGAAATAGTCGGGGCTTGTTTTATTAAGACTTAGAAACAATCCTGTCTGTTTAGGAAATGTGTAATCTGGCATTCCTTGTCGACTATAATAGATCTCATGCCGAACTAAATAATGCTATGACTAAATGTTTTGAAAAAATAATTGGAAATAGAAATCACTAGAAGAAATATGTATTGACATTGAGCTTTGATATTTTTTCATATAGTCATTATCCTGTCCGTACTTCCGTTTGTTTGTCCTCAAAATTTCAAAAATGGTCAACTGAAATAAGGAATGTATTAAGTGACATATTACATATTGAAATAAAAAAAAATAGAATCATTATGCCTAACCCATCCAAAGCTTGTCAATGATTATAACAGCAATTTTAAATGACAATTTTCGTTCATTATTTCAATGAAATTTTATGTTATATAATATCGAAATTTTGATTTTTTGATTGTTTGTAAATATTTTTGTCAATCATCTTTTTATTTGTTTACTTTAAGCAAGAAATGCTATGATTTCGTAAAATAATATGATTTGATGATTATAAGACTGTTTTTGTTTTCTGTTAAAACACTGTATATTTCCATGTTTTGTTTGTTAATATATTTTTTTTTTGTCATACAAGTTTCCTGCATTTTACATATTTGTTTATATAAGACCCGGTTTCTCTGTTACCATTTTTTATTTCTTTCTAGTCAGTAAATACATATATTACTAAATAATATAATAAAATTGTACCTTTATTTACAATGTAAAATACACCTGTAGTTCACTGTGAAAAATTGAACTTGTATAAAATACCTTATTCTCTCTATTGGTGCACGGTCTTTGGGTGTTTGTTAAAGGTATATCAGTTTATGTATGAAAAAATGTATATATATATTTTTTATGCATTTGTTCTTGTTTTTGTCATTTATATTCTAACTTTTACCTTTTTAACATTGAAAGTTAACATTTCCGGTCTATCGAAGAATACAAGTACATGACTTTTAAAGTTACTTTCATTAATAGGTTGCACTAGGACCACATGCCAAATGAGGGTATAATATCACAGATTGGTAATAAATTAACGGTGCAAAAATTAAGATTTTTATTATGGCCAAAAATATCATACATGTCGATCCGCATCAAATGCTTAGAAAGGAATAACATTTGAAATGCAATTTTTTTTACATAAGCCCTACAAGTTGTTAATTTTATACCCTAAAAGTTGAGCAACTTTCGAGGGATCAATCCCCTAATAAGTGGCAAACAGAGAAACTTTTTCACCAGAAGTTTTTCTAAAAAAAATAATAATGGTTCACTAAGCTTAAATTTTCAAAAAAATGTTTATTTATCATATTTAAATGCAACATAATTTTGGGGATAAAATATAGACAAAAATAAAGATTTTTTTTTTTAGCTTGAATGCCAACAGGGTACGGTCCCACGGCGCACGGTAAAAAAAAAACAATGTTTATTAGAAAGTACAAGAGTATTAATTCAAAACAAAAGTTTTAATTCGATAAGATTGTGTTAAAAATTATGGTGATTCGATTCCATAATTTATTTTGCCGTCTTTTTGAAAATTTCAAGGTCTTGGATTAATTTTTCCCGAACATTCGAAATGAGAAAATGATAAATATAACACACGAAAAATAGTGACATTTGATGACGTTACAGCGCACCGGAGAGCAGTTCTATTTGATTTAGATGTGGAAATGATACCTGTAGAGAATTTAAATTAATATTAAAGAAAAAATAATAATTTTTAAAAAATCAGTTCTTTAGTATTTAAATGAAATGGGGGTTTTCTTAACAAAGTCTTTTTTTATCGAGTCCACGGGTGGTACAAAACGTACGAAAAAACTGCAATAGCAAAAGACACTGTTACTGTCGACCGTCGATATATAATTGTCTATTTTTTCAACGATGGTGAGAATATTGTCCATAACTTACTAAAACATTCAGAAGATCGCATGTGCGTGCCAGATTGGTTCCTAAACAGTTTATGGGGACAAGAGTACTGCATTAATGAAATTCCTACATTGTAGAGAGACACATCCAACTCTATTTTTAGCAAAAATGAAACGTGACGCTGTTTTAATTAAACACTTCGACGTTATCATCCGTGCGCCGTAAGGCAATACTATACATAACATGAAATATTATAATTTGTTTATTTCTGCATATATCTATTTGAAATTCGCTTTGTTCATTCATAAAATATGTACTAAAGAGTAGTGAAAACTTCAGAACGTACTAGTGATTATTTTTTACACTAGGCATATTCGTTTATATTAAGTTTGCTTCTTATTTTTATTAATTTTACGTTAATTATTCCTGATCTAAGCAATGGACTGAAACATGAAATTTGAGTATTACAGTATCTCAGACTCCAGTTTTTATAAATACTGGATCTCAAACACCCTAACACCTTTCTGTTATTTATACAGTATGAATTCATGATTCAAAGTTTTCAAATCATGACCCCAAGGGGTAGGATGGGGTCACAATGATAGATAAAACATTTACTAAAAAAGTCACATGTAGTCAAAATAAATATCTAAGTATTCTAAGGAAGAAATTCCTCAAAATCATATACATGTATCAGTTTGAAATAGTTTTAACATGCCACAGAGTAAAAATGAATTTGAACTTCCCTATATATATTGGATTCCGAAACTTCATAATACTCCTTACAAACAAAGATGCATTACGGGTTCCAGTAAATGTTCAACCAAACTTAATTCGTTACTCTTCACTAAGATATTGCCTGTAGTGAAAGAAAAATTTCAAGAGTACGGGCAACAATATACTCAAGAAGTGGTGTGAGTAAGCTGTGTATACTCAAAAATTCCAAATACCTTTAGGGCAATTTGAAATCACAAGATTTTACCAAAATCAATAGCTTAAAAAAATTAAGACTTTTCAACTTTATACCCAACCATTCCCCACGATAAATGAAATTCCAGGGTTTTTGATATCATTGACAGCTGTCTTTTCAATAAAAATTGGAACTCGTAAATTTACTTACCTGGTCATTGGTCATTTGCAAAATTATTTGGTTTAAAACATTCTGATTGCACAAACAAGTACTCTGAATTGGCATCAAAGAGATGCTTGAGTTTCTGATTGACAATTTCTATGTGATTCTTGGAGACCTGTTATTCCAACAATCTATTTGAATTCCCATAAGTACCAATTGCGCTCCGATTTTAGCCGACCTATTTTTGTATCCATATGAATTAGAATTTGTGCAAAATCTTTTGTGTGAAAAGAAGAAAACACTTGCTGTGGCCATTAGCTCGACATTTATATATCTCTACGGCGTATTGTCAATTAACTATTATAATGGTTATTTCCATTCCTACGTCGATAAGATATATCCCGGTAAGCTTGAGATAAAATATACCACAAAGTCTGATACATCTGTTTCATACTTGGATATTTTAGTTGGAAAAGACGTTAATGGAAATCTAACAACCAAGCTATATGATAAACGTGATGACTTTAACTTTTCTATCGTCAACTTCCCTTACTTATGCAGCAATATATACCTTCATCATCTGCATACGGAGTGTATATATCTCAATAGATTCGATACCCAGGAGCATGTTTTAAGTATGAACAATTTCTAAAACGAGATAATTATTGACAAGCAAGTTGATGAAACAAGAATATCAGCAGTCTCGTTTAAAAAAATCATTTCGTAAGTTCTATGGTCGACACAATGACCTTGTCAGCAAATACAATTTATCATTGAGTCAAATGCTGACTGATGTTTTTCATACGAATTCTTAGTCGATTATTTTATACACTGCATTGACAATGGATTTTTCCATTATCCCGATCATTACTGGGAGCACACTGCGGATGTGACCGGTCAGCAGGGAATGCTCACTCTTCCATGACACCTGATCCCACCTCTGATGTTTAGGAGGTCCGTGTTTACCCTGCTCCTATATTGTATTGTTTTATAGACTTTAAAATTGAATACTGTTTGTTATCTCCATATCCTTCTTAGAATAAATTCAACTCTATTTAAATCGTACCCCTCTTCCCTTTGAAGGGTAGATAGAGAACACTTATCCATTTGAGATATTTATACAAAACCTCATTTTGCTTTTTTAGCTCATCTGAGTCAAAGGCTAAAGTGAGCTTTTCTGATAAAAATTTGTCCGTTGTCTGTCGTTGTCGTTGTAGTCGTCGATGTCGTTGTTGTAAACTTTTCTTATTTTCATCTTCTTCTCAAGAACAAATGGGCCAATTTCAACCAAACTTGCTACAAAGTATCCATGGGTAAAGGGATTCAAGTTTCTTCAAATGAAGGGCCACGCCCTTTTCCAAGGGGAGATAATTATGAATTAGAGAAAAATTAATGGCATTTTTAAAAGATCTTCTTATCAAGAACCACTGACACAGGAAAGATGAAGCTCATTTTGAATCATCTTCAGGTAGTGTAGATTCCAGTTTGTTCATATCATGACCCCTGGGGGTAGGGTGGGGCCAAAATGGCCGATCAAAGTTTTACATAGGAATATATAGGAAAAATCTTTAAAAATCTTCTCAAGAACCACTGGGGTAAGAGAGATGGAACACATGTGGAATCATCCTCAGGTAGTGTAAATTCGAATTTGTTCAAATCATGACCCCCGGGGGTAGGGTGGGGCCAATATGGTCGATCAAATTTTTACATAGGAAGATATAGGAAAAATCTTTAAAAATCTTCTTCTCCAGAACCACTGGGGCAAGAAAGATGAAACTCATGTGGAATCTTCCTCAGGTAGTGTAGATTCCAGTTCGTTCAAATCATGACCCCCTGGGGTAGGGTGGGGCCAAAATGGCCGATCAAAGTTTTACATAGGAATATTATAGGGAAAATCTTCTCAAGAACCATTGAGACAGGAAAGATGAAACTCATTTGGAATCATCTTCAGGTAGTATAGATTCAAGTTTCTTTAAATCATGACCCCCAGGGGTAGGGTGGGGCCAAAATGGCCGATCAAAGTTTTACATAGGAATATATAGGAAAAATCTTTAAAAATCTTCTCAAGAACCACTGGGGTAAGAGAGATGGAACACATGTGGAATCATCCTCAGGTAGTGTAAATTCGAATTTGTTCAAATCATGACCCCCGGGGGTAGGGTGGGGCCAATATGGTCGATCAAATTTTTACATAGGAAGATATAGGAAAAATCTTTAAAAATCTTCTTCTCCAGAACCACTGGGGCAAGAAAGACGAAACTCATGTGGAATCTTCCTCAGGTAGTGTAGATTCCAGTTCGTTCAAATCATGACCCCCTGGGGTAGGGTGGGGCCAAAATGGCCGATCAAAGTTTTACATAGGAATATTATAGGGAAAATCTTCTCAAGAACCATTGAGACAGGAAAGATGAAACTCATTTGGGATCATCTTCAGGTAGTATAGATTTAAGTTTCTTTAAATCATGACCCCCAGGGGTAGGGTGGGGCCAAATGGCCGATAAAAGTTTTAAATAGGAATATATAGCCTAGGGAAAACTTTAAAATTTTCTTTTCAAGTACTTCAAAGCCATATTTAGTGATATTTATAGGGAATCATCCTCAGGTATTGTAGATTCTAGTTTGTTCAAATCATGACCCCCTGGGGGGTTAAAATTCAAGCCCTCTCCCTCCCCCGCCCCGCCCTCAGTTAACGTTCAGTTCTGATTTTATGTGCTTTTTTCTAGCCAATTGCTCAGGTGAGCGATGTGGCCCCTGGGCCTCTTGTTTTCCTTACTACAGTAGTCCGGTGAGTGATATAGCGCCAGGGTCTTTTGTTTTTATTTATTGAACGGAGGTCCTCTTGAATGGTTTCCCGAAATCACCTACGTCAGATTTAGAACCTCTTAACGTTTTGAACATCGTCCAAACACAGAAGATAACACTTGGTTAACATGACTAATTTAATCCTGGTTATCAATTTTGCATTTAATTCATTTGATCTGTAGAAAATCACAATAATATTATCAAAAATAAATGTATGTTCCTTTTTGTTCATGTTTGATCATCACTACATCCTACTTTGTCAACAGTGATGGACGTAAGAACAAGATCATTTGGTATTTCCTGGTAATGACTTTCATTCTGGTGTATTTCTTCACTGTGATTGAGATTTCGTTTCGAGATATACTTTCTTAATCGAGCAATGCCCAAAATTATCACAATTATTACAAACATTATGAGGATACATAAAGACAAAATGTTTAAACTCGAGATGTTTTCTTTTGAATTATTTTTGTTCTTCTTTTCAATCCAGTCCGTCCAATTCACTTTCACATAAAATGTTGAGGAATATAACGCTGTAAGTTCAAAATTTGCTACAATACAATCATTTAAATCAAACAGCACAATGGTATGTCCTTGGCTTCAAAACCTCAAATACTCATAAAGTATTGAACACAAAAAAACACGCAAAAAACAATGACATTTTTTAAAACTTTTGATAACGTAATATATGATATAATTACCAGAAGTCACATGTAGACAACCTAATTGAAAATTGCAATCTTCCTGGAGACATTCACAAGACTTCTCACATTTTTCTCCGTAGCTCGGATACCCACACATAACTGAACAATTCAGTCCCGTGAATCCAGCTGGACATTCTGAAGAAAGAATTTTTAATCTTACTTTTTATGTTTTAATATTTTTTTTTCAAAGGGTCGCATGATTTCAAAACAAATGTATTTATAATTGTAAAATACTTGAAAAGAGAAATGTTACTGACCTGAACAATTCTGAAAGATTTCATTCCAGTAGTAGTTGAGGCAGCATCCATTATTTCTAATGATTTTAATAGAAAAAAATAATTGTTTAAATAATTATCATTATTCAACTTTTTGAAAGGTAATACTTAAAATAAATCAAATATTTTTCTTTGGGTGAATTTCCTGAAAATCCTCTCTTAAGTTTGATAATTTTTTGCTATTTTTAAGCAGGCCTATTTAGACAATTTTTTTTATAGATTTATTTATTTTCAATTCTTCATACAAACAAACAGTGAAATATATATAACAGACAAATTACATTACAAACAATATGACAATATTACCTTCAGACAATTTTATGGAATGAAATGTTATGGTATTTTTTCCTGTAACAAATATATGCATTTGAATATTAATTCTTATGGAAAAATTAGAATTTATCTCAGTTAATGTAAGGGGTTTAAATACCCCCGAAAAAAGACGAAAAATTTTTACATGGTTGAAAGAATGTAATATAGATATCATTCTGTTGCAAGAAACACATTTTTTTAGAAAAAAAATGAATCTGTATATAATTTAAACTGGAGAGGAAAAACATTTCACGCATATAGCGACTCTGCATTCAGTAGAGGCGTGTCTGTTCTGTTTAACGAAAAATAGATGTTAACATAATAAATGTCAAAAAGTCTATTGATGGTAGGAAAATTCTGATAAATCTTGAAATCGAGGGTAATATACTTACAATAGTAAATATATATGCACCTAATGAAATTAAGAAGAGGTGTGAATTTTTCAAAAAACTTAAGAACTTTATTTCAAAAAATTGTGTCAACAAAAATATTATACTATGTGGAGACTTTAACTGCCAGATAAACAATATTAATAATGTAGATAAAAGTGCAAATTATTTAAAAGATTTGATAAGGCATTATAACATGGATGATATATGGAAAAAACAAAATCCAGGTATGTCAGGTTTCACTTGGTGTGATGCAAAAAATGATCCTAAAAGTCGAATAGATTATGTTTTTATAAATGATTCTTTTTATTATAGCATAGTAGATATCAAGGTTAGAAAAATTCCAGGCACTCATTCAAACGGGAGTCGAATGAGTGACCATAGATACTTAAAATTTAGTTTTGATATCGATAAAACGAAAAAAATTATTCATAGTATAGATTCCTCTTTAAGCCCTATTATGACATGGGAGTTAATTAAACGAAAGGTTAAAGATTTCTCGATTTATTTTGCAAAAAATGAACAAAAATCAATTAAACAAAAGATAAGAACACTAGAACGCGAAATTGAAGATATGAAGAAGGGAAACGTAGAAAATTTTAATTACAAAAGACTGAAAACTTTAGAAGCGGAACCTGACGCTATTTATGACAAAAAATGTAAAGGTGTGCAGATAAGGTCTAAAATTAAATGGATAGAGGAGGGAGAGAAAAATTCAAAATTCTTTTTAAATTTAGAAAAACGCAATCAATCATCAAACGTAATTAAAGAAATAAAAACAAGAGAAGGAAATAAAATCAGTAAAACTAATGCCATTTTAGGTGAAATGTATTCTTTTTATAGCGAACTATATACTAGTAATGAAATTTCAAACGAAAAAATAGAAAAATATTTATCTGAGATAGACGATATCCCTAAATTAAGTGAAGAAGATAAGATATTGTTAGAAAAATTTCCAACATATGAAGAGTGCAAGGAAGCTGTTGATAGCATGAAAAAAGAAAAATCACCTGGACTAGATGGCCTTCCTAGTGAATTTTATCAATGTTTTTTGGAAACACTTGGGCCTTTCTTTTATAAAGCACTTAATGATATTTTTGATAAAGGTGAATTGTCTTACACACAGAAACTTTCTATTATATCACTGATCCACAAAAAGGGTGAAAAAGATAATTTAAAAAACTATAGACCGATGAGCTTAACAAATACAGATTATAAAATTATTGCCTTTGTCTTTGCAAAGAGATTACAAAATATACTATATAAGTTGATTAACGAAAATCAAACGGCTTACATAAAAGGGAGATATATCGGTGAAAATGCTAGATTAGTACTTGACGTTTTTGAATACTGTGAAAGTGAAAATTCAGATGGTATATTACTTTTCTTAGACTTTGAAAAAGCATTTGACTCGGTTGAATGGAACTTTCTTTTCCAAGTCTTAGAAAAATTTAATATTGGCAATAGTTTAATAAAGTGGGCAAAAATTTTATATACAAATCCAATGTTTAAAATGAAAAACAACGGCTGGCTTTCTAAAACCAGCGAAATGACGCGAGGAATTAGGCAAGGCTGTCCTATTTCCGCTCTCTTGTACCTATTCGTCGCAGAAATTTTGGCTATTAAAATAAAATGTGATACTGATATAAAAGGCATTACAATTAATAATTATGAAATTAAAAACATCCAACACGCAGACGATTTGACTGTAGCTTTAAAAGACGAAATATCAATGAAGCGAACTCTGGATAAATTACAAGAATTCTGTGAACATGCGGGTTCAAAAGTAAACATGCATAAGACAGAATGCATTTTATTAGGGGAACTAAGAAATTTATATGATGAACTCTACGGTATAAAAATTACGAATAAAGCAGTAAGATGTTTGGGAATATTCATAGGGCATGATAAGGAAGAATGTTACACTAAAAACTGGATGAAAATTTATCACGATATTGAAAAACTTTTTGAATCTTGGAAAAGAAGAAAACTAACGCTATTTGGTAAATCATGTATAGTTAAGACACTTGCTATATCTAAACTTACATACGTTGCCTCAATACTAAGTCTTCCTGATAATGCTTACATTAAAAATATACAACGTCTAATTTATAACTTCATTTGGGATAAAAATGAACGAATTAAAAGAAACACGCTTATAGGTAGAATTTTAAAAGGTGGACTCTCAATCGTTGATATTGAATGTAAATTAAAAGCCTTAAAAGCAGCCTGGGTACCTAGATTGTTTAAAAAAAGCAAAGGTATTTTGTACAAAATTTTTGATGGTAATTGTAAAAAATCAAATTTTGAAATTCCCTATGTGTTAGATTTTTCTGATAGAAAAGTAGAAAATATGGAAAAATTAGAGAAACTACCTAAATTTTATCAACAAATGCTATGTTGCTTTAATGAATGTAAGCCCTGTTTTTTGAACAAAAAGTCTTCCGATAATGTTCTTCGACAGCCGATATGGAACAATTGTAACTTTGTTTATAGGGGAAATACATTATTTTTTAAAAACTGGATAGCCAGTGGGATTTTGCATGTTAAAGACTTATTTGACGATGATGGTAATTTTAAATCATTGTTAGATTTTTCTAATTGTATAAAAAACAAGTCAAACTGGTTGTGTGAATTTAAAATTCTTTCTTCTGTTTTCAAACCTTTGCTACTAAAGTATGATTTTTTAAATTGTAAGTTTGTTAACATAAGATACAAAAATTATTTTCTTTTCTACACAGGACAGGTTAATATCATAGACCAAAGATGTAACTTTATTTATGACAATCTTGTACACAGAAAATTTTGTAAACCATGTTATCAAATAGTTTTAAGCAACGAATTCAGTGTCGAACCTTCAGAATGGAAAAATATATATCAATGTAAATTATATGACATACCCGATAAACAACTTACAGAATTCAACTATAAACTTTTAAACAATATTCTTTGTAATAACTTGTATCTCAGTAAATGGAAAAAAGAAAAGAGTAGTAATTGCAAATTATGCCACGTGAATGAAACTTCAAAACATCTCATTTTTGAATGTAAAAATGTTGGTGAAATTTGGAATAGATTAATTTTGTACCTGAAAATAGATATCAAATGGAAACATGTAATAATTGGATTTAGCTCTGAGCGCAATAGAAAAATTGTATCACTCAACACACTCATCTCATATGTTGCCTGTAGGATTTACAAATATAAGATGTACTGTCGAATAAATTCCTTAGATGAAACTAGTTATAACATCTTTAATCACGTTAAATCTTCAATTTTTTTCTATGCTTCCATTCTAAAAAAATTTGACTACACTTGACTACAAACTTTTTAAAAATATTTAGACAATTTAAAGAAAGGTAATAATGCATTCTTAAATTTTACATCCCAAATAGTGGATCAGGGTATTTGTGATTTTACTTTAGTGATAGATTTCGTTCAGCAATCAAAAACTATATAAACTATAAGGTTTTAAATACTGTAGATCACTTAATTTTCGCGACACCTTATTTTCGCGAGATAGTCAGGAATAGTATTATACGCGAGTATTAAATTTTTGCGAGCTCACTTTCTCGCGTAATTACGCAAAAATAAAGTTCTCGCGAATAAAAAGTGATTTACAGTATAAGTATCAAATACTTAGCATAAGTGTAACAAGAGTACAAAATCTTAATATAATTTATAATAATTAGAAATTATAAACATTACGTAAATGCCACCGGCGATATTTAGTTGAAATGCAATATTCTGTTTTAATTTCTGTCTGTATATAAGATACAAGGGAGATAACAGAACAGTATATACTGAAACAAAACAGAAAGAGGCGTTTTGCTTGAATTGAAATATGCAATTAAACGAATTAGGGTTCAACGTAGAGTCGTCTGAGGCACAATAGTCTCTATTATTCTCCAAACCTCATCTTAAATTATCACAAAAGTGAAGTCATTTTCACCCCTCAAATAATATGTTTTGTTTCAGTATATACTGTTCTGTTCTCTCCCTGGTCTCTTATATACAGACACAGATGTGTATCTAGTTTACATATTTTTATCCGTTGAACTTATCTTTATTATTAATAAAAGAAACCACAGAATAAGATTTGTATTACATGTATAAATAAAATATGAATACTAGATACACATGTATGTCTGTTTATAATTTACAGTATGGATCAATCTTTTGACAATAAAAATGATCTAACTATTATTATTAATTTATCTCTAACATCTTTGACATGATATTGATTAGATGTCCAACTGCTTTGCGTATTTTTCATATCTCATATTTGCGGTATCGTTAATTCTAGAGAAGTTTCGACAGAGAATTGGATGAAGTGG